GGACTACGTGAGGATTTTGCAGTACTGGCCCGAAGGCACCTACGGTCTTCTTATGCCGGAAACCGGATGTCCGTTAAACGGAGGGGCAGTCTGGGATACCGGGTACCGGAAGTTTCACACCGAATCCACTACCACCAACCTTGATTTCGTCGAGCCCGATTCGCATTTAAAAACCCCGATCAAGGAGAGAAACGAAACGAACAACTTCGTGTACCTTCACTTCTGCGTGTCATCCAACCGCTCCCTCGGGCCCCCGTGGCCCCCGGGGTCCTACTGCATCCACAGCGTGGGCCAGTGCCCCAGCGGCTCCAACCAGGGCTACGTCTACGCCACCAGCGAACACACCCACCCGGCTTCAACCAAATCCGGTCACCTCCCCACCATGAACGCCGGGCTGGACTACACGCAAACCTTTTTCTGTTGCCGCTCCGACGGTCCGGCATCTGAGCCGGTGTACCTCCCCACCGCCCGCCCCTTCTACCTGTACAGGTACAAGGGCGAGTGTCAGAGAGTCGAGGGGATGTCCGTGTCCAGCGAGCGCCTGGTTCTAGACACGGATGACGTCAACACAGACGTGTTCCAGAACCAGTTCCACCCAGATGGTGACATCAACAACTGGGAGATAGAACTCTGCTACTATCAGTAGACATGAAACAATTATTTAAAGTTTTTATAATCTCGCTGATAAGCTAGATACATTAGAAATGATACATTAGCTCCTGCTTATAAGTTATGCTACTTTAGACTTTTCAAATAAAGTAAAACAAGCTTGCTATAACTATAAGGTAGGCTTGCATGGTTTACAAGCTATAAATTGTATCATAGTTTACGCTAAGGTGGGCTTGCATAGTTTACACGCTGTAATTGTATCAAAGTTTACGCTAAAATAGGCTTGCATAATTTATACGATGTAAATGGTGTTAAATAAGCTGTGCATATTTTAGACTCTTTTAATTACATTGTTATAAGGCTCGCCCTCGCGTGTTTCAAAGCCATGAACATTGTTTTCATTGTCGAGAGTTAAAAATTTGTAAACAGAGTTTTGTAAATGTTGTATTCTTTTAATTATTAGTTAGAACAGTTTCATGCTTGTTAATAGTAAAGAAATAAAAAAATACAATCAAGCTTTCCGACTTTCTTGGGCCTAAGTAAAAATTGTATTTTCTTCAACTTCAAAAGCTCCAGAGAACTCTCTTTATTTCCCTCAATACAATAAGAGCAGATGAAGTAGAGTTAACCTGTTTCTGTGACCTCGGCATATGAAGAGAATGTAGTCAGAACTACCCCCAGCTGCCTTTACTTTCCCTAACCTGAGTCAGGTACCTATTAGGTACCTATTAGAGCTGAGTGGACTCAGGCTCGTCCTATAGAATTGATCCCGGATTCGAACTGGGGACTTTCAGGTTAGTAGCCATGCGCTGTACCATCCGGCCACGTCGTCCCGTACATTGAAGACTGGGCAACGTCTTGGCTGCGTTTAGTACCTTAGTCTACCCGGAGATGATGTGTACCTAGCCTACTGACCAGAGAAACTGATGAACTCTACTTCATCAAGCTGACTAATACCCTCTGGACCCATGAGACAGACCTACATTAAATAATATAAATTGATCTGGTTAAAGTAAGCATGATACTGCTGAGACCCAGAGGCGTAGCGACCTTTCCCGGCGCCCGGGGACAAACTTTCGATTTGCACCCCCCCCCCAGGGGCGGAACTACAGTGCCGCCAGACCCCGCAATGCGGGGGGCCCACGCCATTTAGGGGCCCAGAGCCGACCATAATACATTTTTTTATAGTTAAAAAAAAGTAAATTTTCTTTCATTTTTGACTTGATGGTTGTTTTGTAAAAAATTACCGTAGCTGCGGTTGGATTATCTTTATTCTATAGACACCACCCCACGCTCTTGTTTCATCTTTTTCCCTTTGTTTTTAAACAACTTTGAAAGCCGAGTATTTCTCCTACAATTAAACTTATCAAAGATAAGCAAATGTTCAAACCACTTCCATGACTTATTTCCCTTTTTAAAAAAAATTGTCAAATAGGGGTAATCATAAGCTCCTTTTAATAGATTTGTACTAAACAAATTAAAAAGCAATCACTTCTCTTAATTATTATTGTTTTATAAGTAATTACTAAAGAATAATATTGTATAAAAGGGAAATGTATTGAAATGTATTAAATCAATAATATTTTAAACATTACTAATATAATTACGAGAAAAAACATAAAAATAAACATAACACGAGACACCATTACTTATACAAAGCTTTCATATTTTATATTATTTTGACCGACAGGATGATAAGAGGGCTTCTATCAAAAATTAATTAAAACTGATTTCACAAAACACGCTAATGACTCCTGCTGTCACGTGCATTTGACCTTCACCCCCTTTACTGTTATGCCCCTCAATTTTGTATAATGATATACATGACATCTTGTAAATATTCATTGTGTACATTTGTAAAACCTTTCGTTTTCATTTGATGTTCGAAATTATGTCTAGAATTTGATGTTGATGTACTTGTTTTAAATTGCAAATAAAAGTATTTAAAAAAAAAAAAAAAAAAAAAAAAAAAAAACACGCTAATGCACTTACACACATGACATGATGTTGAAATTTTTTTTTTATTGATGCTTTTCAAATCCCGAACAGGACAGAAATGAGTATCCTATGTTCGTATTATGTGATTGCATATATATATATATATATATATATATATATATATATATATATATATATATATATATATATATATATATATATATGGGGGGCCTAAAAAATTTTTTTGCGGGGTGGCCCTTTTTTTCTAGTTCCGCCACTGCCCCCCCCCTCGAACTTTTCATTTGCACCCCCTCCTCAAACTTTCAATTTGGCGCCCCCTTAGGTCGGCAACCCGGGGACATATGTCCCCCCCCCCCCCCGCCCCCCCCCCTCGCTACGCCTCTGCTGAGACCCCAAGCTTTGGGGGACCAATACTTTATCCCTTCAGGTCCACTACCTTACACAAGCACAGGCTGTGTGGCTGTGTGTAATCAAACATCAAGGTAAGCATTACACCCTGATATTACAGTGAAATGTAATCAAACATAATAGACATCATTACCCCCTGATGTTACACACGCCATTACACCCGGATATTACAGTGTAATGTAATTAAACATCATCGACATCATTAGACCATAATATTACAGTGAAATGTAATCAAACATAATAGACATCATTACACCCGGATGTTACACACGTCATTACACCCGGATAATATAGGGTAATGTAATAAAACATGGTATTACACTCTCATTACACCCGGATAATATAGTGTAATGTAATCAAACATCAAGGTCATCATTACACCCTGATATTACAGTGTAATGTAAAACTGCTACACCTGTCCAGGTGTTGCTGGTGACCCACAGAACCCAAGGTTTACGGTACCGTCTGCAGGACGGGCGGATGTTACGTCACATCCCCCCCCCCCACAGGATGTTTATCTAAGCCAACCAGCAACCACCTGGTTGGACTGATAACCAGTTCTAAGACAGGCTAAACTGATAGGGCGTTGTTTATCTGGGGTCAACCGGAAACCAGGACCTTAGCCATCATTACCATGGCAACGAAGGCTAAGGCGCAACACGCGAACACAATAAAAATAAAAATCTAAAAAAGGATATGGCCAGATAAACATTTTTTCCTGTTGCCAAAGATATGAGCGCAAAATCAAGTGATTGTAACAAAAATGGCGCATATTTTCAAATCAACGAGTCAGGACATCATGTGTCTAGAAATTTCAAAAATCGTAACTCGTGTCACAACCAAATTATGATAAGAGTGTTTTCATTAAAAATTAAGTTTTAAAACTTTCCTTAGCATAATTGAGGGGTCTCCAAACTACGGCCCGCGGGCCAGATGCGGCCCGCTAGGTCCTCTCATCCGGCCCGCGGCGATCTTTTTGTCCACGGAATAAATGTTTGCTAGAGTTAGCTGAGAAACTTGCCCAGAAAATTCAAAACAATTTGAAAATGTAGCTTTGGGTGCAAATACCATTGGCCGCCGAGTTGCAGAAATCGGTGAAAACATAGTGACTCAAATAGGGAAAATGCAAGCAAGTTTGGCAATTTTTTAATTGTAATGGATCAGTTGCTGGACAGCTGTTCCACATCTCAACTGCTTATGTTCATTAGAGGTGTGGACGAAGACATAAACATAACACAAGAGCTGGCTTCCCTACATAGAATGTATGGCACTGTTACAGGAGAGAATATAAATAGTTCAAAGACAAAGTTAAAAGACAGAATCGCAAGATTTACCATATTTCACAGCAGTAAGATGGCTAATTTGCGAGAAATATTTTTGAGCAGAGTATTTCGTTAAGAAAGAAAAAGGTGACTTCCTTGAAAGTACAGTCAAGCCACAAGCTGATGTACTTACTGTCTGATGAAGAGTGGGTATAGAAATTGGCCTCTGCTGCAAACATAACTAGTTATTTAAATTTTCTGTACCTAAAACTACAAGAGATAGAAATTTAGTTTCTGATCTATACACCCACCTAAAGGCTTTCAGATCCAAACTTGTCATGTTTTTGTAAGCAACCACTGCATTCCCCACGTCATTTACATACGAGATCATCAAAGACGTCAAGCTGCAGTTTCAGTAGCGGTCTTTGGACTTGGATTCAAAGGCAAAAAAAAGTGAGACTGTTTCAGAACCCATTTGAAGCAAATGTGGCCAGTTGCAAAGGTTACCTGCAGCTGGAGGTCATTAGAGACACGTTCAAAGAAGGGCGGGTGGGTTTTTATAAGTTTTTGCAAAAGGAAGATTTTCCTAATATTAAAAAAATTGCATCAAAGTACCTTTCAAATTTTGGAACAAGATACCTGTGTGAACAAATATTTTCAAGATTGAAATACGTGAAGAACAATTTGAGAGCAAACTTGGACCTTAAGTGTGGTTTTGGCCACCGACAGTGTTTCTTTCAGACTTTTTCCTCCGGGGGGGGGACACTTGAAATTTGTATATAGTTCTATATGAATTATATTTCGTTAAGGGGGGGGGGGGGAGGTACACGTTCTTCGGGGAAGGGGGGGGGGGGGCGCTGCCACCCCGAAGAGATGTCTTGAAGAAACTCTGGCCCCCGAACTGATATTTGATAGTTAATGCGGCCCTCGGGCTGAAAAGTTTGGAGACCCCTGCAAATGAAGCAGGCGAAGCAAGGACTCTAACTCCAGTTGTATAATAAACACAATCCAATGGATCGGTTATGTCCCTTGTTTGTTGGATGGGAGGAATGGGTGGGAAACATAAGAGGGGGGGGGGGGCTACCGCCTTTTACAAGATTTATTACATGGTCCAAGGCCTAGTTATCAAGCCGCCTTTAGCCGGATAGTTTTATTAGTTCTATTATTTCCGTTAAGTGGTCTAATTAAGGAGGGGTTAGCCACAGTAAGGTAGGGCGTTTTAGTTATGTGAGAGATTAACACAGTAGCATATGGGCAGGTGATGGACCACAGTAGCACATGGGGTAGGTGCTGGACCACAGTAGCACACATGGCTGGACCACAGTAGCACACATGGCTGGACCACAGTATAACATGTGGTATGTGATGGACCAAAAGACCACAGCAACAGGACCACATTGACAGGACCACAGTCACATATGACATAGGGCAGCTGTGGCAAGACCACAGTGATTGGACAACGGCGACAGGCCCACTGTAACAGGACCACACTGGGCTAAATGTGCCAGCACCACAGTCAAACCTCACATCTCAATCCCTTTCAATCCCACTCAATCCCTCAAACACCACCCAACAATCATCGCTTGTCTACCTGTCTATTTACCAAGTCACCACCACAACCGACCACGTCAACCATTGACCAACCAATGATTCAACAATTGAAAAAAAAATAATCTCCCGTTAGTTCTCCACCTGCGGCTAAGTCAAGCCTTTAAAAAAGCTCAGCCTAAGCCACTCATGTCGCCAACCAAACCAAACATTTGACCTTCTTTATCAATTCATTGTTTCGTTATTTGACCTGTGTCAACCGGTTTCAACACGAGTTGTCTACCTGTACTGGAGTTGTCGCTCTTTGTT